AATGTCGGTAGAACTAAGACCCTTGCAGCAAATGCGTTGGGTTGGCATGAATTAAGTTAATAAGCTTTTCTTCAATATAGAAAAGAAGATTCTTATCGGCTGACTCTGTGTCAATGCACATTGTTTTACATTTTTAAGTACTTCAGGATTCAGGAATGATGTAAAACTTCAGTTGTTTCAGAACTGCTGGAGATGGGTTTGCATGAACAGTTTTGTTTACCTTTAGCCACGTGTGGGTGGAAGCCTCCTTCTACCATAGATCTTTCATTGATGGCTACTAATCTTTATGTATATATATTACTTTAATAGTTTTCTAAAAATCTTTTTCTTATTTACTTCAGGGTTTCAGGAAGAAGAAGAAGAAGAGCAGTGATCTAAAGTATGACATCTTTGGGTGGGTAATCCTTGCCGTTGGAATTGTTGCATGGATTGGGATGGCAAAATCTCATATTCCTCCACCTCCTCCACCTCCTCCAAGATAAATTTGTTAATTTGGTGCATTGTTTGAGGAAACCATTCTGGTGATGTGGTGGAAGGTTCATGATCTCTCCTTTAAAGGTTCACTACATTGAGATTTAAATTGATGAGTGTGACAAGTTGTCACATTATTTTTGACTAAATTTTCTTTTTCTCAAATATTTTGGATAAATACCATGGATGTTATTAATTATGGAATTTTGCTCAATTAAGAACCAGGTTTCTTGAACCCGACCTTTGAGTCATAGTGGTTCACCCGAAGCCTTTAAACGCTTGAGTTTGTTAGTTGGGGTTTTGAGCTTCACCAATGCCTTTAAAAATCCCATTTCTCCTTCCCCAAATTGTATACTGTTTAAAAAAAAAAAAAAACCCCGGGTTTCTTGTTGGTTTACCTTCACCGGCGACTGTCGGCCCGTCCTCTCAGTTAAGCCAGGCTGTTTATTTATTTCCATTTACTCTTCTTTGGGCCTTTAAATCTCGAGTCGCTTCCATGTGGTCATCAGAGAAACTGGTGCGGCGAATTTTATCTGAGCGAAGGGTGGGCAAATTTGTCACACTTTGACTTAAAATATATACCCTTAACCTTGTTTTTGTCTACTAATTTAATACTCTTTCTATCACAAAATAATTATTATTTTTTAATTTAGTTTAAATTAATTGTCATTTAATTTTTTTTAAAGTAGATTAATATTTTTTATTTTAATTAATTATTTAATTACAAAAATCTTTTTTTTTATCTTTTATTTTTTTTAAAGGTATTATAGATAAATGAAAAAGTAGAGATTTATTTACATACTAAATTTTATACACCACTTACAAAATTTTAATTATTTCTATTTTCACTTTTAATATTTAATTATTTATCACTATAATTTCAATTATTGAAATTTATTTATATTTGTCAAATATAATTATTTTTTATTTAAAAAATTATAAAAAATTATAATTATTAAATGTAGAGAAATGAATAATTAATATATTATGTAAAAGTTTACGTCCCATAGCATTCAAGTGGATGTATTAATTTACAGTGGGTGACTCATTGCCCTCATCGCCTATCCACTCGTTCCCACCAACAACCCTTTAAAAAAAAAACAAAACAAAAAACAAAAAAGACCCTAGCTATGGAAAGCCCACTCGATCTACCGGTAGTGATTAAGAGGAAGCCCTATCTGTTCTGTTTAGCCCATTCCGAACAGGCTTATTCCACCTCTGTTATACGTAAAACTCAAGCCCAGCTTAACATCATGTACCAGCTTCTCGTGGATCCGACACGTGGTAGAAATAACAAATAAATGTGACACGTCAGATAGTTGAAGTATAAAATATTGCTCTGTACGTATCACTTGCTGGTGCAAATGTGCAATGGTGCGTAGTGCATACACCAGTATAATTTTTTTTTTCTTCATTAGACTCTCTAAATTCAAAATTTTAAGAAGATTCTCCTCACGATGCACTGCCACAGACTAATTAATCCTTGTGATCCTTCTACTTTCTCAACTTTAAATGTATAATCCCATCATTTTATAATTCTAGTTGGCATGATCCCTTCTCGACCCCCACCCCCAAGTTTATAATTAAAGAGGAACATACATAATAGACCATTTTTTTTTTGATATAGTGGTCATGTGATATTATGGATTAGTTTTTGCGCATCATCTAAGTCTACTTTTTAATTTGATCAAGAGTCATTAATTTTAAGGTTAAAGAATTTATAAAAAAAATTATTTATGATGAAAACAATAAAATTAAAATAAGAACATCTTTGGTTAGTAAGACTATAAAGAGAAAGGAAAATCTTTTATTATAAGTTAATGGCACACACTTTTATTAGGAGTGCTTTAAAAGTAAAATATATTTATTTATCTATGACAATATACTATGTAAAAGGGAGAAAAAAACTCAAGATTTTGTAGTTAAAGTGTCTCACTTTAGTGCTAGTTATCAACTTATTTGAATCAGTTACTCTTGTATTGATGAAACAACAATGAAATTGAAATTTGTAGAACAAAGCAAATTGAAAACTTCAACGATCCAAATCTTTTAAATTTCAACTTTGAAAACCTTTTTTAAAACATTTTGAATTTAATTGCAAGCAAATCTTTAAAAATTAGAGACTTAATGACAAATTCAAAATTTATGTCGTATGAGGAATTGGGACGTATTAAAAAAATAGCTACAAAGTTGCCATAACATAAAGATATATTGCTTGAATTTTGGTTGAAAGATTTAGGTTTCTAAGATAAGGAAATGGAGTTGCAGTAGAAATTGTTGGAACTTAAATATTTTAATAAAAA